ACTTGTTGCAAAAAATTTCCTTCAAAGCACTGCTTTATGCCTACACATTTTTTAAAAAGGTTTTTACTTATTTTATTTGAAAGTCAGTTACAGAAAGGGAAAGACAGAGAGAGAGGTCTTCTATCCACTGCTTCACTCCCCAAATGGCCACAATGACCAGGGCTGGACCAGACTGAAACCAGGAGTTTCATCCAAGTCTCCCACGTGGTTGCAGGGGTCCAAGCACTTGAGCCATCTTCCACTGCTTTCCCAGGTACATTAACAGGGAACTGGATCAGAAGTGGAGCAACCGGGACTCAAACCAGTGCCCATAGGGATGCCGGTACTGCAGGCAACAGCTTAACCTGCTATGCCACAGTGCCGGCCCCCTATGCCCACACATCTTAACATGCTGTAATTTCATTTTTCTTCCATTTAAAAACTACATATCTGATACAGGTGGTTTAAATTTCTAACATTTCATATTTTCTTGTTATCTTCCTGTTACTGATTTGTAAACTATATATGGTTTTAATTACACATTTGCATGTGTAAACCAGGATATTTCCATATGCACTTAGAATATGTAATGGAAAGCCAAGAACTCTGGCAAAAACTGTCCTACATAAAGGACCCCTGTGGGTGAGACCTCAGTAAAATCAAGGGGCCACCAAGAAGGATATACTTTTCTCTGAAGGGAGAACTTCCACTTTGCTGGTGGCCTTGTTGAGTCAGTGGATCCAAAAGGCTTCCATAGCCAAGGCAGCTCATGTCAAGAACCTTTTGTGATCACTGATGTCACATGTAAGAGTGTTACTTATATGAGGGCCAGCACTGTGGCATAGTGGGTAAAGCCACTGCTTGCATCCCATGTGGACACCGGCTGCTCCACTTCCAATCCAGTTCTCTGCTAAAGCCTGGGAAAGCAGTAGAAGATGGCCCAAGTCCTTGGGCTCCTGTACCCACATAGGAGACTCAGAAGAAGCTCCTGGCTCCTAGCTTCAGATCTGCACAGCTCTGGCCATTGTGGCCAATTGGAGAGTGAACCAGCGGATGGAAAACCTCTCTCTGCCTCTCCATCTCTCTGTGTAATTTTTTTTATTATTATTTGACTGGTAGAGTTAGAGAAAAAGGTCTTCCTTACGTTGGTTCACCCCCCCAAATGGCCACTATGGCCAGCACGCTGCGCCAATCCAAAACCAGGAGCCAGGTGCTTCCTCCTGGTCTCCCATGCGGGTGCAGGGCCCAAGCACTTGGGCCATCCTCCACTGCACTCCTGGGCCACAGCAGAGAGTGGGACTAGAACCCAGTGTTCCGGCGCCGCAAGGCAGAGGATTAGCCAAGTGAGCCATGGTGCCAGCCCTTCTGTGTAATTCTTTCAAATAAATCTTTAAGAAAAAAAAAGTTGGCAGCGCCACAGCTCAATAGGATAATCCTCCGCCTGCGGTACCAGCACACCGGGTTCTAGTCCCGGTTGGGCACCAGATTCTGTCCCGGTTGCTCCTCTTCCTGTCCTGCTCTCTGCTGTGGCCAGGGAGGGCAGTGGAGGATGGCCCAAGTCCTTGGGCCCTGCACCCGCATGGCAGACCGGGAGAAGCACCTGGCTCCTGGCTTCAGATCAGCACGGTGCACCGGCCGCAGTGGCCATTCAGGGGTGAACCAACGGAAAAGGAAGACCTTTCTCTGTGTCTCTCTCACTGTCCACGCTGCCTGTCAAAAAAGAAAAAAAAAAGTGTTATTTGTTAAACTTAAGAGTCACTGTGCACTAACTTCAAGGGCAAGACCTCTGTCCCCAAAGAGTTGTATCATGAAATTTAAACAGTAAAACTTGCTCTCAAGAATCACTTCCTTTTAGTGTATTAAATGGAGGATGTTATTATGTCCCGTAAGTTATAGTTGTATCTAAGAGCTCACAAAAGATGCGTCATCCTTGTGGTCTTCCTTAAAGACAAGTAAGTTTCTGAAAGGAAAAAAGAGGAGAAGAAAGAAAGGAAAAGAAGAGGGGGTAGCAAAAGCACCTTCAAGAAGCAATAACATAGAACAGCCCTTGTCTACACTGTTGAGGAACAGTTCTTTTATTCCATTCTTTTTCTTTCTTGGACTAAACAGGATGTAGGAGAAATTGTGGGAAGAATTACTATGTTCCTAATGTTGTATTTATGATATATACAAATTTTTTAAAAGATTAAAGGATATGTACATGTATTCTGTTGTTTTGTGGAGTGTTTTTTTTTTTTATTAAAGATTTATCTTATTTATTTGAAAGACAGAGTTACAGAGAAAGCCAGAGACAGAGAGGTCTTTCATCCGCTGGTTCACTCCCCAGTTGACTGCAATGGCCAGAGCTGAGCCAATCCGAAGCCAGGAGCTGCTTCCGGGTCTCCCATATGGGTGCAGGAGCCCAAGGACTTGGGCCATCTTCCACTGCTCTCCCAGGCCACAGTAGAGAGCTGGATCGGAAGAGGAGCAGCCAGGACTAGAACTGGTGCCCATACGGGATGCCAGCACTTCAGGCCAGGGCTTTAACCCGCTGCATCACAGTGCTGGCCTGGAGTGTTTTTCTATAAATGTCAGATCCATTGGATTATTGCTATTCAGCTCTTCCATATATTGGCTGATTTTCTGCTTCCTAGCTCTCTTACTGACAGGAGTGCTGATGTCTCTGGCTGCAAAGGTGAATCTGTTTCTTTCAGCTGTCAGATTTCTCACATGTTCTGCCCCAGTACAGCCTTTGTCATTTTAACCTTTCCCCAGAAATTCAGCTCAGTGTGCCCACACAGCCACTGTGCTTCCTATCAATGCCACCTTCCCTGAGCATGCAGAGCCCTTGTTCTTGTACTTTGTCACCTTGCAGAGACGACGGTGGCCACACTTACACAAAGTCCCGTAGATTTTAGGAAGGTTCACCATATTGAGGGTATCACGGTCAGCACAGCTGAATATATTTTGAAGCTATGCTGTTAGAAGCACACACCGCTGAGAATATTCAGAGTCTAAATGGCAAGTTGACTCATTAATGAGTACTTCAAAAAGTTTATGGAGGGGCCGGTGCTAAGGTATAGCAGGTAAAGCCATGGCCTGCAAGGCCAGCATCCCATGAGTGCCAGTTCCAGTCCCAGCTGCTCCATTTCTGATCCAGCTCTCTGCTGTGGCCTGGGAAAGCAGTGGAAGATGGCCCAAGTCTTTGGGCCCCTGCACCCGTGTGGAAGACCTGGAAGAAGCTCCTAGCTCCTGGCTTCAGGTCAGCCCAGCTCCAGCCATTGGAACCATTTGGGGAGTGAACCAGTGGATGAAAGACCTCGCTCTCTGCCTCTCTAACTCTGCCTTTTAAATAAATAAATCTTTAAAAAAAAGTCTAGGATTGTTAATTTGACCTTTTTAATATGTACTTTAGTATCTTTAATGGCCTCTATCGGGCCACTGATGGGCTGAGTTCAGCCCAGAAGTTGCAACATGCCTTCTGTGGGTACCGGTGCCAAAGTCAAGTTTAGTTTTCAAAGACTCTGCAGAGCTATTTGGATCCATCCCAGATGTGTGCAACATCTCGCAGCCAATCTGAACCTGAGGCAAGGCTGCCTATCTCTGGTATGCTCATTAGAATCAGTCCCATGCAGGAACCCTGTGAACAAAGTCCAGTGCAGAAGCTCATTGTAACTTCGAGGAGTCACTTTCCTAAGGACTTCCCCTCTATGCTATTATCCAGTACTCTGGAGCTCCCTAGGGCCCCGCCCCCTCCTTGTTTTGATCTTGCAACCTGAACCTGTTCACTTCTATATTTGAGCGATGGTCTTTAGATGGGAGGGAAGAAAAAGGCGCATTAACTCAGGCCCACCCTCTTGGTGCCAGACCTCTATCAAATGGAAATACGTGGAGTTCTCCTCCCTCAAACTTAAGGTCTCTGCAGGCTCTCACTGGCAACCAGATTTATGAAAAGCTTCTGCATGAAGAAATGGAGAAAAAGGAAGGCCGGCGCCGCGGCTCACTAGGCTAATCCTCCGCCTAGCGGCACCGGCACACCGGGTTCTAGTCCCGGTCGGGGCGCCGGATTCTGTCCCGGTTGCCCCTCTTCCAGGCCAGCTCTCTGCTGTGGCCCAGGAGTGCAGTGGAGGATGGCCCAAGTGCTTGGGCCCTGCACCCCATGGGAGACCAGGAAAAGCACCTGGCTCCTGACTCCTGCCATCGGATCAGCGCGGTGCACCAGCCGCAGCGCGCCAGCCGCGGCGGCCATTGGAGGGTGAACCAACGGCAAAAGGAAGACCTTTCTCTCTGTCTCTCTCTCTCACTGTCCACTCTGCCTGTCAAAAAATAAAAAAATAAAAGAGAGAGAGAAAAAGGAGAGGGGAGGAGGCACTTCCCTCCGCTCCCATGAGCTTTCGCGGTCTCTTTCTGGCTTCTTGGGCCAGGTCTATGGCTGCTGTACCAGTGTGCACTTCTGTGGCTTGCCCTGAGTTGTGTTTAGGCTGGAGGACAAACTCAGCACCCCATCAATGGGGTTCATGGTTCTGGTGTTTCCACTGTGTGCTATTTACTTTTCGGTCCTCACACCATTGTGTAATGCATTCTGTCCAGGACATGTGTTTATTTCATCTTGCCTGGAACTAGAAAAAATTACAGCATGTGTACAGCACTATCTCATATTTATGCAAAAAGAAAAGAAGTAAACCTTTATCTCCACAGGTACGTCCTTAGGAAAAGTGGTTAGGAAAGTCCTTAGGAAAACTGGTTTCTCCTGAGAAGGGAATTTTGCTGAGATAATGTTGAAGGGAACTGTTACTTTTTACTCTATATTTATTGAATTATTTTAAGCACACACTATTACTTCTAGAACCTTCAAAACAGTAAGAAAGTGTGAGAGAAAAGTGTGGGGAAAAATACATTTCAACTGAAAATATATACACAGTACTCACCTCTTCCTGGACATGATAAGCATTTAATGAAAATCCACTTAGGAGTCCGTGTTATCACATTCTCTTCAGCCCATTTATATACTTAGCAGAATCATTTCTCACAAAATAGAAGTCTGAGCCTTTAATATTAAGTTTATTCACATTTTTCCAAGTAAGTGCAATATTAAATATAAGCTAAAAACAATACAGAGTTCTTAGAAAACACAACCCCAAGTTCCTATTGCCTGAGCTTTGTGATTGGATGGTGCCCAGCCTTTATTCTTCCAGAATTTTAAAGTGAATGTAGTGCTCAAAACAGACATAAAATAACCTGGGGACACTTTGCCTAAATAACTTTGTTATTATAAAAGAAATGCAAAAGGAGGATTCTAATGCCTTTGTTCAAGTGTCCAGAGTTTCAAAATGGAAATAAGTATTACTAGGGTAAGCAACTGTTTTCCCATCTTATACTAGCAAGCTTGGCAGGAGTAGTGTGGGACAAGGGCCAGGTACACTAAGCGTGTAGTCTGACTGAATAGTTCCATATTCAACACTTCAAACATTTGCAAATGGCCAGTCATATTTTTAGGATCATTTTGTTTTAAAATATTACTTAACTGATCAAAGACTATAGAGTAAGGACCATATATGGGTCAGGCACTAGCAGTTTGATACCAAACCAACTATAGAATCAGGCTATATAAATATTAGCACCATTTATCTAGTCCAGTTAAGCGTATAACTATCCATAAGCTAAGTTTTTTACTAAAGCAGTCAATAAGAAAGCTTGTTTTTACTTTACAGTGATATATTTTCTCTCTCTCTCTCTCTCTCTCTCTCTCTCTAATACTTTAGAACATTTTAAATATCAAGTACTCTAACATTTCATTTACAAAGTGTATGCCCAGGGCAGCATTATCATTTTGAAGGGGTTAGGGTAGACCACAAAGACTTGTTAAGAGTTGCAGTTATAGAGTTCTTTTTTGGAAGTTAAGACTTGAAGTAACTCAACACCAGCTTTCCTTGCTGTCTTTCTTATAATTTTGTTAGCTGAGTTCAAGTGACCTAAGCATACATACCTTTCAAATTACTTAGCAACTGATCCTTGATGAAATTTAATGACAAAGATATTACATGTGGAATGACATACATATGTGCCTTCTACATTATGAGGAAGTTATACATTCAGTAAACTTTAAAAATGTCCTTAGGAAAGGTTTGCAATGGTTTCTCCCAAGAAGGGAATTTTGCTGAGATAATGTTGAAGGGAACTGTTACTTTTATGGGGGGAGACTTACAGACATAACCAGAAGTGCCAAGGAGTCTGACACCCCCTAAATAAGAACAGATAAAAGAACAGAATCTTTCTCACTTCTCATTCATTTTGGTCCAGCAGGAAGCCAGGCATTATTTCAATATTCTATTTGTGTATTTATTGTAAAATAAAAGTACCTGCAAAAGGCATGTTTATGGCTTGTGGTTAAATTAAGAGCCTAAAACCAAAATTTACAGAATTTTATGTAGTATTTATTTTAAGTATCTTGGGATTCTCAGTTTCAGGTTTTTTCAAAATGAAAGGTAATTTTAAGCTATCTCACTATCCTCCAAGTTGTCCCAAGAATTAGAAACATGATTATTACCACATTAGTGTTTAGAATGAGAAGAAAAAAGTAGGACCATCAAACTGTTAAAAACCTAAAATTTTCAAAACACAATTGTCACTAAAGAAAAGAAACCCTAAGCGACGAAGGACTTGGACATCAGGTAGGAATTCACACTGATTCACGCCTCTCATGTGCACTAAAGAGGCTTTCACATCTTGTCCATTCGTCATCTCCTCGAAGGAAAGGGTGAAAGACTGGCCAACACTGCCTTCTAGGTTTTATCTCTGGAGTTTTCAAGAGCAAGCACATGAAATAAAGTCTGCTTCCTAAACACGAGAAAGTCTGGCTTATTCCAAGTCTGGGGAATGGGGGTTTCTAAGGCAGTCCCTCAGTGTGGGGCCAAAGCCATCTTTCCTAGAGATTGTCAAACGCAACACACACTCTTGAGCTGAACGGCTAGAACTAAACATGCAAGAAATGGTTTTAAAGCAACAGTTTACACAATCAGCCACACCATCACAATCACCACAGAAATGTGATCTTTAGGTACCTGCAATGTGTAAAGACTAACAACAGAGAACACCAAAATTCACCAGAATTATTGGCAAAGTTGTTTTGGACAACGTGTAGAATTTCCCTCTTTTTAAATATACATCTCAATGATTAAGGAGTGCTCTCTGAGTAAAATAATTCGCCTCAAAACTATGCACATAAAATTCTTTTTTTAAAAAAATACACTTCTTCAGCATAAGTTTTCAAAGCTTAATACAGTTATGACACTGTGTGACAACTTCATGTGAAATAAAACCAATTTTTGTTCTAAAGATTCAATATCGTACTTCAAAGACCTAGAGTAAAAGTATCAAGGAAGTGCTCAGCCTCGTCTCACTCCCCCATCTCCAGGTGCTAGGTTGGCACAGGTAAAGTACCTTTTCTTTCAAAGAATTTAGCACTCATCTTTCTAGAAGATTCTTGCTTCTGCAGGATGGAAAAGAATTTACCCATTTGATGGAAACCAGTGTTTTAAAAAAAAATTTTTTTCTACCCACCAAAAGCAAACACAGTTGAGGAAAGTAGCATAATTTAAATAGTACTTATACACACATCACCATCCTCTCACATCAAGGTGAACAGGAGATATACTGAGTAGGAACCAAACAGTAAGATATTTCAACCTAAAGTCTGAATTTTATACATCAGCAAGACTTTGCTGTTAAGTTCGGTAGAGGAAAAGGCGGGGGGGAGGGGCAGCATACCTACTGTGTATCAATATCGGTCCTTCATCCCCAATGGGCTAAACAATCTTGATTCACTCAATGAAATTCCATATTATAAGTTCTAAGTATCATTGCCAGCTATTATAGGAGAGGCAAAAGTCCACATGTATACACACCAAAATATTAGTCTGTCACAAGTGACTGATTCTACATTATATATTCTTTTAAAAAAAAACTCACAATAAAAAATGTGACAGTCTTTGACTTATTACTATTCTCAACACATGTTGCACTGGCACTGCATTCATTGGAATGTATTTGAACTATTAAACTATTAAATAAGAGGTGCCTAGATGACAATTTAAAGGGAAAAGGTGACCCTCACCCAGCCTGGGTAGCTCTTAAATACCACAATGTACATGGAGCTGGTGCTGAACTGAAAGACAAAGAAGTGACGGCTAGTTTTCCTGGAACTGCCTAAGTTCCAGTTTCACCATACATGGAATCAACAGAGGGGCTACACGGCATGTCCGACTTGCTACTCTTCCACAGAGAAAACCGCACAAGAGGAAAACTAATCTGAACGCCGCAGGATGGAATGATCTTACAGGCTATGGGATCTGAAAAGCTATTCAGGACGGGAATGAAAATGGGCTCCACTTAAACGCAGGGCAAGAATACGGAGTGGTGAGCATCTATAGCCATTTAAAGGCATTTGGTGTCACTCTTAAAAGATTAAGATGCCTTAAAACCCTTGAAGGGATATCAAAGATTTAGGGAATTATCTTCATAAATAACCAAATATCTATGGCTTCAACTGTCTGCCCTACTGCTGAGGTAGGTGACCAAAATTCATCAAAAGAAACAATCGTTTCCCCAAGAAAAACGTGCATAATCAGGTGGTTTCTTAAACCTGTGTCCAATTTCAATTGGTGGTTTTTCTTTCCTTTCATTTGGACTTCTCGGGGGAAGCTGTCCAGGCCACGGTCCTTTAGGCTCTTGCCGAATAGCATCTCATGTACTCTGTCATCCACGGGTTCTCCGAGGAGGAAGCCTTCCCCTTTCTGGTCTTCTCCGCCTCCACAGAGTGAGCACGCTGCCTCTGAGCTACCAGTCTCCTTTTCTCCACCTGTCTTCTGTTCTTGGCGCGTAATGCTGACTCATGGATCTAAGGGAAGTTCAAAGGCAAGAGTCTAAGCTTCTGCACTAAGTGTCAAGAATACACGCAATCAAAGTCAAGACCCTCAGTCCCCACCCCGACCCCATAACCTGGAACAGAGAGAGGGCCAAGCCCTGTCTTTCTGTGTGCAGCTTGTCTAATAGTAAAGGCTGCCACAGATGGCCATTCCCACCTGATGCTACTGTGACTTCCCCATCATCAGTGACAATGAAACTAAGCAACAGATAGAAACGGTGAGCAACTGCTTTGCATGCGCTTCTAGAAGGGATGCTGGAAAAATGTGGAAGTGCTTGGCATTAAACGGGTAAGTAAATGTTTAAGGGGCAGTGTACTTAAAAAAAAAAAAAAAAAGAGAGAGACTTGGGATTTTCCTCCCATCCTTCATTCTTCAAGGATAAATCCTGTTCAAATTAATTCCCAAGTGCTTGTCAGAGGTCTTTTGTTGAGCAACAGATTTGTTGTCTCAAATATCACTCCAGATAACACCATCTGCCAGGGTTCGGAAGTCTGTTCAGCTAAACTCTGATTGTGGTATTGAAACAGAATTCAAAAAAAAAAAATTCCCGTTTATGTTTCTTTTCATGCATCCTTTGCTTCAGGCTGTAGTAACGGGTTTTTTTGTTTTTTTGTTTTGTTTTTTTTTTGTTTGTTTTTTGTTTTTTGGTTTTTTTTTGTTTTTTTGGACAGGCAGAGTTAAGACAGAGAGAGAGACAGAGTCTTCCTTTTCCGTTGGTTCACCCGCCCCCCCAAATGGCAGCTACAGCCGGCACACTGCACTGATCCGAAGCCAGGAGCCAGGTGCTTCTCCTGCTCTCCCATGCGGGTGCAGGGCCCAAGCACTTAGGTCATCCTCCACTGCCCTCCTGGGCCACAGCAGAGAGCTGTACTGGAAGAGGAGCAACTGGGACAGAATCTGGTACCCCAATTGGGACAAGAACCCAGTGTGCCGGTGCTGCAGGCAGAGGATTAGCCTAGTGAGCCACGGTGCCAGCCTGTAGCAACAGTATTAATGCTAACACAGATCACTGTTTTGTGACTACATACATGAGGACCTTCTCATCTGAAACGCTTTTCAGTGCCCGACCCTGGGTGAAAAATCAGGGCTAAGGCAGAGGAGATTTAAAGTTCCTGGGACTAAAATGCATCGGTTTACAGACAAATGGGAAATGCGGCAATTTGAAATTTAATTGGGAGAGCAAAAGGGTGGCCCATGTGGGGCAATCAACAGACAAACCAGTGACAAAGGAGACAAGAAAATGCTAGATTATCAAAGCCGAAGGCAGCTGCAAACTCTCAAGGGGCCAGCGGCAAATCCAGACGGGCAGCTGCCCAGGCCCAGCTGTTGCCTCTCCTCTGCACCTCCAGGCTCCCCAGGGACCTGTGAACTATCCTTTGCACCTGACTCAGTGTCAGTAAACCTTTCTGAGTACCAGCTAACTCCCAGCCAAAACCGCTGGCTCGCCAAGCACCCACCACCGTCCAGAATCCTGCTGGTTCATCAGAGTCTGTCTGGGGCTTCCCTGGCACAGTGGAGCATCAACCCCTAAAAGTTGTGTCTGGGCCCCCAGCATCCCAGTGGCTGCAGGATGAGCTCCCACGGACAAGCACACAGCCCAGCTCTCAGACAGACAGCAGAGAGGTGGGGGCTCACCTCGTGCACAGGAGCAGATGCGCAGACGTTGTGAGTCTTCTGGCTCCCCGTATCCATCTGTTTTTCTCCCCAGCCATAAAGGGCAAATGGATGCCTGTTCTCTTTTATCTTACTTGATGACCTTTGGGGACTTTTGGCCGCTTTCCTATTTCCTCTGGCAAATAAGGCACTTGGCGGTTGTCGAGGTTCGACACTGACGGCTAACTTGTCAGTCTCTTTTGTTTTGGTTGGCTGTTCAGGTTTTCCTTCTACATCTTTCGCTGGCAGGGCTTTTGAAAAGAGAAAACGATGTAAATACAAGAAAAGCAGGCGTGCGCACAATCACTTCAAATACTTCGGTTGAAAAAATCTTAGTGCTTCGTCAGGTCAGTAACATCTGCACACACGGCTGAACTAGAGTTTCACTTAAAGCAGAAATACAGAAACAAGTTAGCAGAGCAACTTTCCAGCCATTTATCCCATTTTAAAATCAACAGTAAATACACCAAGACTGAACCACGCCTACTCCAAGGCAGCTGAGATGTATAATTCAGTGAAATGCTAAAAGCCAGAAAGCACCATGCCCTAATGGTTTTCTCTGAAACCCCAAGCCAAATCCGATTATCTGTATGCTGTGCTTCAGGGAAGGATTCAGCTGGAATCCCTTGGTGACCAAAAACACTCCTTATAACCCTCATGTGCTCCTGGGAAGAGCTGGGTGGCCGCCCCGGTTTGAAAGGCCGTCCATCACAATCCAGAGTGGTTTCCATGGTTACCCCCCTGGGTGCACAGCTACGCACCTCCCCGCTGGAGATGAGAGCTCTTCGGCATGGCCGCAGAAACGACTCGGTGAATCAGGTCCACAGTCCACACGGCCCAAAATTCTGCCAGCAGAGCTAGGAAGCTGCTTTATAGAGTGTGACTGCCCAACGTGAGCATCGCGGATATTAAGGATACACTGATACACTTGGCAAAAATATCTATTGATTACCTTTCAGGACTTTGCCATTCATTATCTTTTTAATCAATTTTTTTAATAACACTGTATTCTTTTGCACAAACTCTTTGTGGACCTGTCCTCATCCAGGGGTTTAGGTCTTAAGCTTACTCCTCCCTCCCTCTGCATGCTGCAAAATTAGCCTCTCTCTGATGACTTTGTAGACTACAATGCAAAGCCTCAGACTCTTGCCCCTAACTACTTAAAAAAAATTTTTTAATTTATTTTAATAAGACAGAGAAACAGAAATAAAGATCTTCCGTCTGCTGGTTCACTTCCCAGGTGTTCCCAGCAGCCAGGGGGCCAGGACTCATGGCCAAAGCTAAGAGCTGAGAACTCAATCCAGATCCCCCACGCGGGTGGCAGGGACACAAACACCATGCCATCATCACCTTCTGCCCCCCTGAATGTGCATTATCAAGAATGTTGGAGATGGAAGCAGAGCCAGCACACAAGCCCACGTACTCAGACACAGGATGTGGGTGCCCCAATCAGCATCTTAACTGCTACACCAAATGCCCACCTCCACCCCCCTCTACTTTTGCTTGTGACCCCTCTCTTGCCTAGTTCCACATTCCCTTGAATGTCAGGTGAACCCCACGTGGGGCAGTCCAGACAGAATGGAGTATGTTTCTAAGGAGTCTGCCAGGTCAGGCATCTGTCATTTGTGCCTTCATCAAGGACCCTGACTCTACCAAACTGTTTCATTTATTACTAAACATTTTTAAAACCCAGGTAGCCCAGTCGCTTGGGGAATGAAATAGGACAAGAGGAAGAGTGTGAGAGCCTACATCCATTCAGTGCTCCAATGTTTCTCTGAATGTTGTGTTTACACCCTCTCCATCCTTCTCTCTCTCTCTCTCCTTTTTTTTTTTAAGATTTATTTTATTTATTTGAAAGACATTGTTACAGAGAGGTAGAGACAGAAAGGTCTTCCATCTACTGGTTTACTCCCCAGATGGCCACAACAGCTGGAGCTGTGCCGATCCAAAGCCAGGAGCTTCTTCCGGGTCTCCCACGCGTGTACAGGGGCCCAAGCAGTTGGGCCATCCTCTACTGCTTTCCCAGGCCATAACAGAGAGCTGGACCAGAAGTGGAGCAGCCGGGACTCGAACCTGCACCTATACGGGATGCCAGCGCTTCAGGACAGGGCTTTAACCCGCTGCACCACGCACAGTGCCGGGCCCTCCACCCTTCTCTTGCCTGGATCCAGGAGGAAAGGAAAAGAAAGGAAAGACCACCAGGATCAGGACAAAGGGCAGGCAACACCTGTGTGGCTTCAAAGACTGAAAAAGAGAAGGCACCTTCTCTGGCTCCTGCACGCGAGGCTCCAAACACGAGTACCAGGGGACTGTGAAAGAGAAGCAGGCATACACACGGAGTGAAAGCATCGAAGGAGAACCAGCTGGAACGACAGATTGGAGATACTGGGATCATCACTCACAGACAAGAAAAGCCCTGTGCATATCCTCGGCACGTACAGAAAAAGACACACCTGAAAATCATCTGCAGCAGAAACAAAAGACGAAATGACAGAAAACAACCTATGGCTGTAATTTTTAATGTTTAAAAAAACCTTCAAAGTAGTGCCTTGTACAAGATAATCATATATAAGTACATGTTTTTAAAATCCTATTGTAAACTATGAAGCTTAAAATAAAGGCATTTTCAGGCAAAAATAAAACCCACAGCATTCCCCACCAGTTCTGGTGACAGACTGCAATGAGTCTTTCTCAGCTACTTATACAGCATTCAAATAAAAAGAACTTCAGGGGCTGGCGCTGTGGCGTAGCGGGTAAAGCTGCAGCCTGCAGTGCCAGCAACCCATGTGGGTGCTGGTTCGGGTCTCAGCTGCTCTACTTCCAATCCAGCTCTCTGCTATGGGCTGGGAAACCAGTGGAGGATGGCCCTGGTCCTTGGATCCCTGCACCCATGTGGGAGACCTGGAGGAAGCTCCTGGCTCCTGGCTTCAGATCAACTCAGCTCTGGATTGGCGCAGCTCCAGCCATTCTGGCTATCTGGGGAATGAGCTACCTGGGGCAATCAACAGACAAACCAGTGACAAAGGAGACAAGAAAATGCTAGGTTATCAAAGCCGAAGGTGTGGGGAGCAACTCGGAATAGACTGTTACTCGAATTAAGACTTATTCTATGCATCTGCTTTCCCACAATATGGTGCTGGGAGAGGAGCAAACAGCTTCTACACAGCTGCCTCCAGTTCAACCAATAAGCAGCAGGACCTGCTCCTGATTGGAGGAGAGCAGCGTACTCGGCGTGTGGGTAGCAGAGTTGGGATTGGTGGAAGAGGACTATAAAGGAGGAGAGAGACAACATGCACCAGGAACACCTGAGGAACATCTGAGCAGCCCCCGAGAGAGCCGGCCGGCGGTGTGCCACTCCCCCACGGAGGTGGAAGGGACGGTAGCCAACCCGGGAAGAACCAGCAGCAAACCCGGGGAGGGCCGAGCAGACGAAAGAACAACGCAGGGTCCTGTGTCGTTCCTCCACGAAGAGGGGGAGCGACACGAAGGCAGCTGCAAACTCTCAAGGGGCCAGCGGCAAATCCAGACGGGCAGCTGCCCAGGCCCAGCTGTTGCCTCTCCTCTGCACCTCCAGGCTCCCCAGGGACCTGTGAACTATCCTTTGCACCTGACTCAGTGTCAGTAAACCTTTCTGAGTACCAGCTAACTCCCAGCCAAAACCGCTGGCTCGCCAAGCACCCACCACCGTCCAGAATCCTGCTGGTTCATCAGAGTCTGTCTGGGGCTTCCCTGGCACCGTGGAGCATCAACCCCTAAAAGCTGTGTCTGGGCCCCCAGCATCCCAGTGGCTGCAGGATGAGCCCCCACGGACAAGCACACAGCCCAGCTTTCAGACAGACAGCAGAGACGGTTGGAGGCCCTCTCTCTCTCTGCCTCAGCCTCTGTGACTCTGCCTTTCAAATAAAATAAATAAATCTTAAAAAAAAAAAAAAAGAACTTCATCTCAATTTAAAATCGTGCTGTCCAACATGAACTACATGTAGCTATTATGTGTAATTTTAATCTAAAGTGAAAAGATTTGGTTCCTTAATTACAATAGGTCATCATCCAAGTACTTATTAAACACATCCGCTGGAGACTGCCAGGTTGGAGAGTGGAAGGAGAGAACACGTCCACCAGTACAGGATGTTTTACTGAACAGCCCGATCCTCAACAACTGAACAGAATTAACAAATCTGACCCAGTGAGTGTCACAACACCACCATCAGCCACAACTACAGAATATATAGACCCATCAAGTATGTAAGGAACATTACAGGAATTCGCACAGCCTAAGCCATAAAGCAAATCTTACTACATTTATAAGCCTGAAATTCTCTAACCAGAGAACCAACAAGCTACATACATCAAAACAACATTTTCTTTTTTAATGATTTAATTATTTATTTGAAACTCAGAGTTACACAAAGGGGGGGGGGGGGGGGACAGAGAAAGAGGTCTTCCATCTGCTGGTTCACTCCCCAATTGGCCACAACAGCCAGAGCTGCGCCAATCTGAAGCCAGGAGCTTCTTCTGGGTTTCCCACAGGGGTACAGGGGTCCAAGGACTTGGGCCATCTTCTACTGTTTTCCCAAGCCATAGCAGAGAGCTGGATCAGAAGTGGAGCAGCCGGGACTAGAACCAGTGCCCATATGGGATACTGGCACTGCAGGCAGCAGCTTTACCTGCTATGCCACAGCGCCGGTCCCCAAAACAGAACTTTTAAAGACCTCTTCTAGGTTTTTTTTCCCCCTTCATTTTATTTGAGAGAAATCAAGAAGAGAAATACTTTCCACCTATCGGCTCACTCCCCAAATGCCCACAACAGCCAGGGCTGGGCCAGGCTAAAACCAAGAGCAAAGAACTCCATCCTGGTCCCCAACGTGGGTGACAGGAACCCAAGTACCTGAGCCATCTGTTGCCTCTGAGGGTACACATTAGCTGAGGCCAGGTGAGAAGCAAAGGAACTAAGACTAGAACAAGGCACTCTGCCGTGGGATGTAGGATTTCCCAGCAGTGTCTTAACCTCTGAACCAAATGCCTAGCGCTCTTGCAGTTTTGAAATTTAAAAACTCTTGTTAAAAAAAAAAAAAAAGAAACCTTGGGTCAAAACCAAAACATATGTTTACACAAAAATATGAAAGTACATACTGTCACTGAGCTGTGTACTTTAAAAATGGTAACTCTTGTGTTATATATATTTTACAATTTTTTTCATTTTAAATTATTAATTATTCATTTTCTTTGAAAGGCAGGAGACAGAGAAAGACTT